AGCAACAATCGACTAACCACTGCTTCAAATATCTTGCTGTTGATGTTGGGTGGAAAATACACCGAACAGATGACTAGATTAGTCACCAAGCTTGTCGTTCTCGCAATCAAAATATCATATTGCGACCTATACTTTATTTTCTTAAAGCCAATCCCTTTTTTAAAACCTATTGCAACTCCTGCATATCCATCCGCTCTTGTTTTTTTTAATCAAATTAAAACCCATTAGTTTGTGATTTTCCACCTTTTCATCATGGGAAAAAATTTCTTGCAACCCTACAATACTTATATCGTTCCTATTTATGAAAAAGTCTAAATTGTTTTTGTTCGCCTTTAGGCTTTGTACATTATATTGTAGAATTTTTATCTAGCTCATTATTAGTGTTTGAACTTGTAACGTAAACCCCATTAACCTCTTTCAAAGTATCTCCTATCTTTCTCAAAATTGGTTCACTTTCATCAATTTCAAACTTCTTAGTCAATAACGCCACTAACCTTTCTACTTCCGAAACTTTTGCCCAGCTTGGACTATAAAAAACCGTCTTTTTAGCCACCTTATCTTGTTTTTCCTTCACTACCTCAGGTTTATCTTTCCTCTCATTTCTTTTAGCCGTATGCGCGTAACTAAAGGAGGTTATTCTCCTGTTAACCACCATATCATTATTTACACGGTTATTTTGCGCCCCAGAAATGGTAGGAAAATTCTCCTGATCATCATCCAGCAGTGCAAAACGATTATTTTGGTCAATGACCTCTTTGTATGAATCTATAGCCTCTCTTTTTGAAATTTTCTTTATCGTCATTATTTCCAGAAGTTGTTTTTCCCTTTTCCATACTTGACAAACACTGTTATTCACCGAAGTATGCCCCACATTTCCGCAAAGAATGCAATTATTGGCTTTTACCTCACACTGACTTCCGCAACCTTCCTCCTTACCACACATAATGCATCTGTTCCTGCCTCTACACCCCATTCTGGTATGCCCCAAGCGTCCGCAATTGTAACACTGCTTTACCCTGGGTACAAAGTGCTTGACTTTAAAGTTTATATACAAAATTTTAATCTCATTAGGAATCTCGTTCCCTTCAAACCCTATTTTCACTGTCAGAGTCGGTATTAAATTGTCTCTGGAATTTGGGTCCCTGCGCATTATTCTGGTCACACTGGTAATTTTACAATCAGATGCTATATTATTCTTTATCTCAACTTCAGAGAAGTCTGTCGGTATTTGCGTAATCACTCCCACTGTTTCAATCATGCTTTTAGGAATGAAGCTCCTAATGAGATTCACTGCCAGCAAATGATTGCTTAAACTTTTGTTAGCATCTTCATGCGTGTAGAAATATATTTTAAACAGAGATCTCCCTACCGCTTTTATAGTCTTAATACCTTCAACTTTGAAATTTTTAATTTTGTTCCATAAAAAAATTCCATTTCTCATCCTATCATTTTCACATAAGGGGCTCTTAGACGTGTCGAACAACACACAAAAGTCACCCTTGTAGCTGCTTGAGTATGTAAAAGTATTTAAACTCACCATCCTTGACTTTGCCTCATCGTTATTACTCTTGCTGCTATCGCCTTGCCCATTAGTGTAACCCACTGCATTTGTACTCTCGCTTTGCGAATTTGTCACGTTGCTAACGCTTTGCGTAACTGTACACTTGTCCAAGTTGCAAAGTGTGTCTGTGATCTCACTTTGAGAATTTGTCATATTACGAACCGTATGTGCAACTGTACTTTCGTCCATGTTGTCGAAAAAACCTTTTTTAACCACTAAACCTTGCATCGGTATTTGCTGATCCTTAATTTTGTTCGTCTTTTTCGGTTTTCCATTAAGCACTTTTGCTTGCTTATTGCAATCTTCGTCCGTACCTGATTCTAATAAACCATCATTAATACCTTTGATATTCCTTCTTCTACTTCTTCTACGCTTAACACTCTTCCAACTCTGCCCCTCTGCAAACCAATTTGCAGGCAAGTTAGAGTCAGAAGAAATTGCCTCAGAGCCATCGGGCGCTGAAGCGTCCTCCATTTTGTCTCACAGCCGCACGCACAACCACGAGGCACCCAACAGTACAAAAAGAAACTTACCAAAAAAGCCACTCCAAATTCGACTTCTGCGTAAAAAAACTGCACTCCGGCTTCGATCCTTCAAATCCTGTAATTTTTTTACAATTTACACAACTTTAGCTAACAATTTCTGTTCCAATTACAAATTTGTCTTTCACACAAAATCTAAGCCTTTATTCACCGTCCTTACACAATGGCCGCTGAATTCGAATTGCATTTTCCTTTGTACATCGAGTGAACTGAAATTGCGGTGCTGCCACACATCACAATAAATGCGTAAAAAAAAATTACTGAAAAGGGAATCAACGAAAACGTAAATAATAAAGTGGATATGTACATATATGATATAGCTTTTTTATTGGATATTTTCACTATATATGGAAGAATTGATAAAAAAAGGGCCGCAGGTGAAAATTTTCAAGATATATGGAAGTATTGGATTTTTTAAAAAAGCGCCGCAGGCGAAAATTTGTAATAAAAAATCGCGCGACTCTACGAAGTCGGCCAAATCTGGCAAATCTACAGCGGCTTCAGCATACGCCGGCAGCGAGTATACAACTAAGAAACCTAAAGGCATTATGAAGAAGAAGGGCAAGCTCGATCCCTTCGCGTACATACCACTAAGTCGAAATACGCTAAACAAAAGGTAAGTTATTCGATGGTAATTATACTAAACGTTACTTATTTAACAAAAATATACAAATTTTTGACAGAAAACGAGCAAAACATGCAGACGCATTTAAGAATATCGTAAATGGAGCACGGAAAGGTGCGCTGAGAGGCGTTAAACAAAGAGTCGCTAAGCCTAACAAACAATAAGCTAATAAAACTAATGCAACAAACTCAAACTATGTATGTATGTGTACATAAAAGATTATATATGAAGTAAGCTATAGTTACGACTGAGAGTTATAAATCAAAAGATTGCATAAAATAAAGCTAAAAATCACTATTTAAACAATTTAAACTTTAAAAGCAGATAAATATTTTCTTCCTTCTACGCTAAATGATTTTATTTTTTAGTTAGCTCATATAATTTATGTAAGTTAAAAATACTTTAGTCAGTTCACCTGAGTTTAAAAGCTTACATTCTGAGGCTTTGGGTTTTAGCACCCAATCAACAAAATTTTTCATACGTTTTGGGTACATGGGCATGCAATAAAAGAATACGTTTAAAATTATAATACAAATTCTTATTGTATACATCGTAGAGTGGATACTTTCGCACTACATATTAAGAATATAAGAAATTAAATATTAATTTATTATAAATTTAATTCAATAAATAAATACACAATTGTAATAATTTTTGAACGCACTTTCCACACCACCTTCGAGGTATGCATATAGGCGCGTTACCGATTTTTAAAGGTGTTGGGTTCCCCAGGAGGCCTATCTTCACCATTATAACTTAAATTAAAAATGTTTTAAAGCATGCAATAAAAGAATGCAACAACAAAAAAACAAATTTTCTTAACCTTCGGAGGACACACCTTTTTCATTTGACGTGAACGACACACTGGGGTAAATTGCACCCCAATGGAAAGGTTGCTTTTAAAACACACAGCTTAAGCTTTTTTGCATATATTGCGCTGGAAATATTTAGATAAAATAAATTTAAAATTAAATGTCTTATTGAATTTTTCAAAGGTACAAGATCATACAATTGCATGGTTAGCTTTTATTGACATAACGAAAAAGTTTATCAAAAATAGGCTTTGCACTCCAAGAAAAAAAAACTTTGAAAAACTAAATCAGATATCTGGAAAGAGCTTAGACTAAAAATAAAATAATAAAAGATTATAAAAACAGCTTATTCATAAAATATAATGAGCAAACTTAGCTTATCTAAAAACTTCAAATTGTAAGAAAATTATAAATTCATAAATTTAATTTAACCTCCTTCTGCGCACTGGCAGCAAATCATAGCCCTATGTTCCTCACCCATATGTAAGTAGTAGCTTGCGCAGGCCTTAGACGTCTTTCGCTCCATTTTCTGTCGCAAAACTCACATCGAGCAGTTGTTGGAAGCCTTAGGTTAGGTGAAGCTCGAATGTCCTGCATTGATAATATTTATTGTATTTGAATCCGAAGGCAGGAGCCTCTCTTTCAGCGGCCGGTTTCCAGAGCACATTGCCATTATTACTATAAAATAAAATCACTACTTGAAGAAGCTGAATTTAAAAAAATAAATAAAATAACCTTTGACCAAACTAAGCTATATATGTAAAAAAAAACTCGAACTACACACTGGGGTAAATTACACCCAATTACTTATTTTGATTCATGTAAAATGAGAACGCACCACCAACTGACGGCTTATTGTATGAATTCGAATGGTGAAAATGGAGTTGCTAAAATACAGGTAACGGTATATTTCCACATATTAGAAGTAAACAAACCACAACCCAGTAAACATTGTGTGGGGTGTCTTACACCCCAGTGTGTCTTTCGAAGGTTAAAACTAGTAAACATAAAAAAATTTTGCGAATAAAATTCATAATTCAAAATAAAATATCACAATCGTTTTTATATATACATATTTACAAAATGAATCTTAAAGCACCCACAGTAAGTCCTAAACCTATAAATCACTACTAATAATAAAAATAATGAAGAATAACAAAAATCCCGAGAAATGTGAACAAGTATGTCAAGAAGTCTGTTAAGAGTAGCGGAACTGTATCTCAATAATAAGTACTTTTAAGCAAAAAATACCGACTTCAATGCTCATATGCATAAAAATTTAGGAGTACTGTTCATTTGTTCATGACAATGATCGGCAGAAAACCAAATTAGCATGAGACTACCCGTGAGGTACCAAGTTATCTGGTAAAATACAAAAAAAAAAACAAAATAAAACAAAAAATCCAAAAAAAAATTATAAATTGATAACCTTCCCTTAAAAAATGAGTGCGTATTCTACTAAAAAAAATATAGGCTGAATTTCTTTATTCATTCTGAACGTTTGGAATAAACTTTTTTGTTTACTTATTCTTTAGAACGTTCCTGATGATATGTTAACGTATATTTCAAACGTATTCTGTTTATTCCGGCTGTGAAATGGGATTATCCGGAATGTATAAAGAAACGCAGCCATAAACTACCTGTGAGAAATACACAAAAATTTTGTATGTTTAAATTCAGGTTGTCACCTTACCTTTTGTGTACAAAAGCCGACCTACCTAATGTCCCAAATAAATGCACTTACCGTG